GTGATGGGTCCACTGAGAAAAGGAAGAATCAATAATTTGCCTGTTGAGACTTTTCTGGTCTTATTTCTTGAGAAGTCAGCTCTAACTGATGAGTGATTTGTGCAATATAAAGCTAAAGTGGTGGCAGTAGACTAATAGAACTGGAGAAGAATATACTCAGGAGACACAAGTGTGGACTTTATAGCACAGAAATAAAAAAAAAAAAAAAGTTATTTAAATATATTGTTAGCACTTATTTACTAATTTTATTTTTTGTTTAAAATGCATTTTTGTCATTCTATTGTGTCTCTTTTTATTACATTAATGTAGACATATTGAATATTTATACACAGCAGCTATACCTCATAAGGGTAAAAGGGAACAATCATAGAACAACATGTTACTTTGTAACTATTTTCCATCTTGGACTGGCTGCATACTTTGCACTGGGCATCAAGGAGAGATAATTAGCGTTTCACTGGATATAAATGTATTTATAATGCAGTTTGGCTGAGAACAGACTAAGAAAACTCAAAGTGACTGACCTCAGGTGATACACAGAGTTTAAACAAATTCTCCTATATAAGTTGTACCTGTTTATCTGCAACCGTCTGTCTCCTACATCCACTCAAAAAGCAGAATTTACACAGAATCTCTCAGCTCTGAAAAGCAGGGAGCAGAGAGCTGAAGTTACACCCAGTGAGGGGAGCTCTGAGCTGATAGGAGGGAAAGGATAAACCCCTCTTGACACAGCACACAGGAACAGAGCTGAGGCTGTCAATCACAAGCTGTGCCCTCCCTGTAACTATTTTTTATCTTGGTGCCGGGAAAACTCATCAAAAATGACTCATGCTGATGGCAGAGTAACAGAGCAGCAGACAGAAATTATGTTTAGTGCTCTGGATAGAGACAAGCATACACTATAAAGAGATATGCTTTGTTCATATTTCATGTCTACAACCACTTTATGTGGATTAAACAGAACTTGCGTTTGGTCCATTTTCTCTTAATCAGTACCAGGATGCATATACACATATGACTGTAATTGACTTTATGACTGTCTATAACTAAAAATCATGAGGATCAACCAGACTCTTATACCAATAAAATGAGATACATATTATATGGATACAAATATTTTTTTTTCTTTAGCAAAGGCATAGATATAGGCAAATTAAGGTGAATCTATCTTTTCTTTCATAGAAACACCCATTACTTTTTATTTATCTATTTCTCTTATATTACTTTTCTGTATCAATATGTGTACATACCTTTTCAAGTGATATCATTCAGTTAGAGTTATCAGACACTGCAGGTTTATACTTTGAAGTATGTCAAGATAAGCTACAGTATATACAATTGAAATATAATAAACCTGTTCATGACTTGGCATTATTTTAGGGAATGTTTTCAGTTCTTAGAATGGATGTAGTATATCCAGTAGTGAAAGCAAATGTTTTGAAGTTCTTAAATACAGAAAAGATATATTGATAGTCTTCATGTTTTACAGCACACTTTTTCTGGCAATAAAAATGGCCTGTGGCAATAAATATATGTATATAGGTCATTTTACAAATGCAGTGTGTTTTTTTTTTTAACTGTATGTCTTGCTTCTGATTTTTAGCACTTAATACAATGACGTACAGCTTCTCTTCTAATGTAAAAAAAAAAAACTAAAAAGGTTTGGCAAGATAATGCACAATCCTTTCTAGTAGCAGATGGCCCTACTGTTTGTAAGACATATTAAATAGAAGCTGATCTGTACAGTTGGAAGATATTCAGTATTTGGTCCTACCCTATTAGTTGTGATTTTTTTTCTGGGTGAAATTAATGACTTGCAATTTTAATAGAGGCTAGTGATCGTCTCTGCCATTTATATCTTTTTTTTATTCCAGCTTTCTCTTCCTTTCCTTAGTTTTGCATTACTTCTTTTTCCAGCATAACCCTCTACTTACATTGACTATGCCTTGCTTCCAATTTGCAATATCATTACATTTTGGATGAGTACCAAAGATTAAAAGTAGCCACAACTACTATGCAGTGGGGGTCATTTACTATAACTGGAGAGTGCAAAATCTGGTGCAACTCTGCAAAGAAACCACTCAGCTTCCAGATTTTATTGCTAAAGCTTATTTGAACAAGCTGTAGTTAGAAGCTGATTGGCTACCATGCACAGGTGCACAAGATTCTGAGTGAACCAACTTTAGTAAATAAAAACCTGTATGTATATATCAGGAATAAAACATCCATATAAAAGACTTTTAAAATGTGTAAAATAAAATAACTGGTTGGCTACCATGCACAGCTGCACTAGATTCTGAGTGCACCAGTTTTAGTAAACCTACCTCAATATATCCGATCAGCTGATTAATGGAGTGAAGCAAACTATTAAATAGGGATGGGCTTGATGTTCGAGTCAAACGTAAGTTCGACTCGAAAATTGGCTGTTCATGTGTTCGCTGAACACACAAACGGTAAGGGCATTCGGCGGGCTGTTCACCCAAGGCGCCCCACAATGCAATGTGCTCTCACAGTGCATTGTGAGAGCTGTGATTGGCTAATCCAAGCACAATTGGGCGGAGCTAGTGGTGACGTTGGCCAATTGCTTACATCTGACAGGCATATGTCAGATTTCGGCGGGTGCAGGTCTTTTTGTAATTTCGGCAAGTTGGCATCATGACAATGCTGGATGCCATGATTGACAATGAATTACAATGATGGAAACATTTTTTTTATTTTTTGGCTTTTCTATTTTATTAAAGGACTTGTCAAAAACAGTTGTGTGTTTTTTTGTCCAATTAAATAAATTTTTCAAAAGTCTGGCATCTTTATTTTTTCTAAATTTGAATCCTTTAGTGAATGGGTAGGGGTACAAGCCCTTTACTCATTCACAGGGGGGAGCAGCTTCAGGGTGTCCCCTTATTTAAAGGGGTACCCTGATGCTAATTAGCCCCCTGCCTGCAGACCCCCACAACCCAGGATTGTGGGGAAGAGGCCCTTTTCCCCATCGGCATGCCGAGTGCACGTGGCCTGGTAAGCCACAGGGAGGGGGGGGGGGGCGCTTGATTCCCCCCCCCCTTTCCTGCCCTGCCAGTCCTATGCTTGGATCAAGGGTCTGGTAGGAATTTAGGGGGAACCTACACTTTCCCATCCCATTTTTTGGAGGTAAGGTTCCCCTTAAAATTCCTACCAGGCCTAAAGGGCCTGGTATGGCTTTTAGGGGGAACCCCAATCACCCCCCTCCTCCATTTTTTGGAGGTGGGGTTTCCCTTAAATGTCCTACCAGGCCTTTGTCTTTTAGGGGAACTCCATGTTCTTTTTTAAAAAGATTTTTTACTGGGGGGGACCCCACGTTGTTTTTTTTATATATGTAAAAATGTCATTTTTAATAAAAAATCAGTCCTGCTGTAGCAGGTTCTATACATTGTACAGATGCAGGTAGCGTAAGGGGACCCCCCCCCCCCCCCCCCCCCCCCCCAGGCATGATATTTAAAGGAATTTTTTTTTTTTTGTTACTTTAAGCAATGAAAAATGACTGCCCCTTTAACCCCTTGATGCCAATCACACGCAAATATGCGGCTTCTCAGCGTCTGGGCCTTGTAGTTAAAAAATACATATGTGCTGAGAGCGCGCACCCTGCGCGCTCCCAGCACATATATTCGTTACTCCCGGAAAGGTCCCGATCTCTCCTTTCGATTGGGACCTTTTCCGATCATGTGACTGTTGTGATGATGACAAATCACGGTGGTCACATGACAATAAAACCCCTCCCCGCCTCCCAACTTCGCAAACTCCTAAAGGGCTGGGAGGCTCCGGCGCCAAGAGATTAAAAACGGTACTTTTTGAGATTTGTTTTCACTGATTCATGTCTTTCAGCACAGTACCCAATTCCCCATACCCCTTTTACAGCCAATAACATGTATATAAGCCTCAAAATGGGCACTTTTGAATTTACAAGTTCGAGTCCCATAGACTTGCATTGAGTTCGCAGTTCTTGGTCAAAAGTTCATTGGGTTCAAACGTTCGACCGCAAACCAAACACAGGGGTGTTCGGCCCATCACTGCTATTAAACTCACTTGTTAGTAGAATTCATTTCATTTCATCGTTGATTACATTATGTAAACATACCAGTAATAGCCAACTCCTTTTTTGTAATAAGGCTATTATCAAACCTTCTCAGAATTCCATTGTAACAATTTCTGCGTATTTTGCCAAGGAAATTACATATTAGACCATAATAAAATTTAAGCAAATGAGGTGACTCTTTGTCTTGTACACTTATAAGTTGATTCACCAAAGGTAAATAGGCTTGCAAGGGAATTTTCACTTTGCAAAGGAATTTTCCTGTAGCATAGTCAATGAGGTGAAGCTCTACTGAATTCCATCTTCTGGTCATGGGCAAGAAAAAATGTTTTTTTTTTCCTTGCAGGTTTTTGGGTATTTTTTGCAAAGTGAAATTTCACCAAGTTAATTTTCAAAGTTAACATTCTTGTGCAAAGTAAACAGTCTATTTGCCTTTAGTAAATTAACCCCACAGTGTCCAGATACCACTGTAACTTTCAGTGAAACACTGTTGACCCAACCAAAACTTACTTACAAGCCATCTTCCGATAATGAATGAAAATATTGACCAAAGCTATGACAATAGTGAATTGGTTATGTCCCAAATTATATTGAAGAAAAGAGGTTCACTGGCTTAAAGGTGTAAATGATTAAAGAGGAACTGCAGGCAAAACATTTTTTCAAAAAAGAGTTGGAAAGAGTTGGAAACGCTGTCAGGTTTATACACTGTATAGCCAAAAGTTTGTGGACACCTGACTATTGCATTATGATATGACCAAAAGAATATAGACATCCCTCCAAATCCCTGTAGATGTTTACAGTGAAGGATACTGTTAATGCTACAGCATACAAATACATTTTTGACAATTATTTTTTCTTCCAGTCTTTTGGAAACAGTTTGGGGTCATTTTCTGTTCCATAAGTGTGCCATGTTCACAAAATCAAGTCCATAAATATATGTTTTAACTCAGGGCTTTAAATTTCCACTCGCCTGCTTGCCAATGGTGAGTGGAAATTATGGTGGGGGCGAGTGTGTCCCCCAGGGCCGTCTTGCTGAGCAGGCTTGGAGCTCAGGCCAGATCTGTCATTGGCACTGGGAGCCGTCAGACTGCTCAATAGCTGAGCGCAGAAAAAGCAAAGCAAGGAGTGTGTGCTGTGCTCTCTGCCTCCCCTTATGGTGCAATACCCGGATCTGTGAGTGAACAACGAAGTACTGCAACTTTTTATGGGGGGGGCTGGTATGTGTGTGTGTACGTGTACATGTGTGTGTGTTTGTGTGTGTCTGTGTATGCATGTACAATCGTACATGTGTCTGTGTGTATGTACATGTGTGTATCTGTACATGTGTCTGCGTGTATGTACGTGTGTGTACATGTGTGTGTACATGTGTCTGTGTGTGTGTGTACATGTGTGTGTGTGCATGTGCATGTACATGTGTGTGTGTGTGTTTGTGTGTATGTACGTACATGTGTATGTATGTACATGTGTCTGTGTATGTATGTACATGTGTCTGTGTATGTATGTACATGTATCTGTGTGTGTATACGTGTCTGTATGTGCCTGTGTGTGTATACATGTGTCTGTATGTGTGTGTGTACATGTTTCTCTGTGCTTGTGTGTACATGTTTCTGTGTGTGTGTGTGTGTGTGTGTGTGTGTACAGGTGTCTCTGTTTGTGTGTGTTTGTTGGTGGGGAGTAACTCTAAGGTCTGGCTATGAGCTCAGGACGTGAAATTTTAAGTCCTGGTTTAACTAATTTGGTGTTGGCACAGAACCACAACCTCAACCCTTCTGGACACCTTTGAGATTAACTGAAATGTAGATTCCAATTGGCAGGTCTTCTTTTCCAACATCCATGCCTAAATATTCAACAGAGTCTGCTGTCCTATCCCACATCCTATCTATAGCAGCTGTGCTTAGTGAGATAACGTCCACCCAATGACTCAAATCCTAAAAAAGCACTGTGCTCTTAAATAAAACTGACTAACTAACACCAAAAACCATCAATAAGCAAAAAAGTCCATAAATTGCTTATCAATCCCAATAATTAAATGCTTACAGTTGTCAGTGTCCAACATTCATGCATCAGCTGATTTCTCTCTCTGAAATGGACAGACTCACCAAATGCTGTGGACCACTATAATTAATGGCCACTATGCACTTGATATCATCAATCCACACTGTATCGCACACTCTTTCACTCCACCACACCTTTGCCTGGGATTTCTCTCAGTAGAAAAAAAATGCAAAGAGACAAAAAGCTTTGATAGTGTAAAACCACAAACAAACAACTAATCAAACAATAAAAATCAAATTCACAGTGAAGACTACTAACACCTCAATAATGTACTTAATAAAATCACAAATTATAAATATTTAATACAATGATACTTAGTTTGCAGATTATACTAGGCTTTCTATAGGAAAGTTCAGCACTGGTGCCTAAGTTTTTGATTGCCCTCATTTTCACAACCTAATAACAGCATAATGGAATGGGAGGGTAAAGCAGCCCTGAGTGTGCCACCTGTTTAGTGCAAGTGCTAAACATGAAATGGTAATTTGCAATATTTCAAATGTGCCTGGCTTAAAAATGATAAAACAATTTTAAATGAATTATATACTTTTCTTCTTCTCCATCCTATTTTCCCCCTTTGCTGTGAAGGGAAGAAAGCTAACCTTTACCTTTTTTTATTGACATATGGAGTGCAGACCTCCTGATAATGTACTTCACTTTCATGGCCGGGTCTACATCATCAATGTGGGGTAAACAAACTTGATCTTATGTTCTCTCAGTCTGTTCTAATTATTCTGGAGGAATTCCACTGTGTTCCACATGTTTGTATACATGTTGTACTATTCAAGGTGTACTTCTAGCCCTGCTTGCTATTTTTCATAAATAAAGAATTTATTTTTAAAAAATGTATATCTTAGCTCTAAATAAATAAAGAACATACATAAAACATTTTTTAAATAATCATGGCAGTGAGGATAACATAAGACATGACTACAAAAAACAAATAGTCACTTTATAGTAAATTAGTGAAGATTACTAAATAAACACATATCATTGTCCTGGCTGTTCAGATGGTGAAAGGCTGTATGATATTCTTGATTTAAGATGTAGTCATGCCCTAGGTCTTGCAGTCACTCTGGTGTCTTTACAGGGGTCACGTACTTAGGAAAGATTTCTCCTTTCAACATCTGCTCACCAAAAGTAGCCCAGTTTGTGCTCTCTGAGTGTCCCGTTGCACATTTCTCATATGTGCTAATTATGGATGTAATAATTAATCAAATATTTATTGGGAGTATTTTGTGTCAGCCCCAGGAGCATGTTTTACTGTACATAAATCTTCTTGAATAAAACATAAACATTAATTAAAGTCTTGCTTATAAGCATCCTGCTGTGATTCACACCATTATGGATCTTGGCTTGAAAGTTCAGCTATAGAAGGGGAATGTTAGCATGTTAGCAGAGAGCACAGCTCATTAATGACTCTCATGACCAAATATGATTCCTACAGGTGATTAGAGATGAGCAAATATGCTTGGGTTTGGTTTGTGAAGAGTTTTGCAAATCTTGCTCGAAGTTTGTGAACTTTGCAGCAAACTTTGCAGTTTCTGGCTATTTGTAGGGCTAACAAACAAGCTGAAGACTAATTGGTGCTGCACTACCTCTAAGTGATAAATAAACTCCTGTGATGTTAATACCCCACACAGTGTGCAAATGTATAAATAAATATACACAAAACCAAAAAATTATTGAATAGAATGCACAGGAAAACATCCAAATTGTGGGTAATAGTGAATACCACCCAAACGTAAAAAGGTGTAACCTAGGTACACCACTAGAAATAAAATAGGTTATACCTTTTTACGTTTGGGTGGTATTCACTATTATCCACAATTTGGATGTGTTTATGTGGATTCTATTCAATAATTTTTTTGGTTTTGTGTATATTTATTTATACGTTTGCACACTGTGTGGGGTAATAACATCACAGGAGCTTATTTATCACTTAGAGGTAGCGCAGCACCAATTAGTCTTCAATTTGTCATTTTCCATCAGGTAAAAGTATCTTCCCCTATCAGTCTCTCTAACAGCCCAGAAAAACACTGACAAAGTGGCTGCTGTAAGCCCATTCTTTATAGAAGGGGGGCTGGGTTTCCATTCCTTCAAATTACTGGATTTTGTGACTCGGGTGACCAAGGAAAAGGCTATGCACTGCATTACAGCTTGAAGCTGCAAACTTTGATTCATGTTCCACAAACTTCTTGAAACTACAAACTTTGATTCATGTTTCGCAAACTTTACAAAAATCTGGGGTTTGCTACAAATCATTGGTGGCAGCGAACTTGAACCTAATCCCTACTAAAGATAAGTGAAGCATGAACCTCCTCTAGTTCTTCTTTTCTCACACTATGTTTATTCTCTAGTATTCTTTTTCTGCAGTTTACCTATTGTATGAATTTTTTTCCTGCATATAAAATATATACACTTCAGAATTAGTTTTTTATTGCAGAATGTCCACAACTCTTGGACATTATATGCAATCTCTGCAGGGGCTTAACCAACTGCCCTTCTTCATGCGTATGTTTTGTATTGCTAATTGTGTTCTATAGTGCCCATTTATATCTTATCACATGGTGCTGTCATATGTTTTTGTCCTGTGTCCCATTGTTGAATTCCCTGAATACTAAAAAAAAAATTTCTACCTTCATTTTGCACAAATCAGACCCAAATCTTGCTTCAATAGCAACTGTAACACAGTTGAATAAAGAAATGACCAAAAATAAGCTTTATGGAGATTTAAGAATATAAAGTGGCATTATGTCTAAAACTAGGCCTTAATGCCAGTGCATTTGCCTAGTTATGAACATTGAGGCAGACATATTGATTTCTTGCCATACCTGCCAGCAATGCGAACACTTCAATTCTTGACTATTTTCATTCTACCCCAGTTGTATTCTGTTTTATACTAGCCGATGTTGTAAGTGCATCTGCAAACAAAAAGAGACTGCCCATTAAATTTTATTTTGTACAGGCCAGCTAAACTAACACTTATTAAAGCAGAACTTAAAGCCCTACAGTTAAAAATTGCCAGAAGTTAAAGTGTTTTGCAGAAGAGACCTACTGTGTTTTGTTTTTTTTTTATAAAGCTTTCCTTCCATGCTCTTAGCAGTTTTTGACTCTCTACATACACTGCAAGGTGAAATAACCATAAAAATCTGTGCATATCTCACACAATCATTTTAGGACCCTCTGCCAGTCCAGAGGATATTGTGACCACAAGGATACTCTTCAATCTGTAATGCTACAGCAAAGGCGCCTTTTTTTTATTTTTATTTTTAAGTGCGGTCTATGGTAAAGAGCCTTTAAAAAAGAAAGTTTTAACTTATATAGAAAAAAAATCTCATTGAATTTTCCATGTAGATGTATAAATATATATGCTTTTCTTTGATTTAAATTCTACTTGTACTTGTGTATGATTGGACTTCCACCTGTGGTACTAGACTCGTTGGTTCGAATCCCAACCACGGTACCACCTGCCTGCAGTTGTTCTCCCTGGTCCTGCGTAGGTTTCCTCAGGGTACTCCAGTTTCCTCCCACACTCCAAAGACATGCTGGTAGGTTAATTGGCTCGTGTCTAAATTGGCCCTAGTATGTGTATGTATGAATGTAAGTTAGGGACCTTAGATTGTACGTCCCTTGAGGGTTAGGGACTGATGTGAATGTGCAATATATATATATGTAAAACGCTGCATAAATTGCCAGTGCTATACAAGTACCTATAATGAATAAAATAATATAAATAAATTATGTCTTCTACAGACCTGATGACCAGCCCAACAGCTTAATGAAGGAGTGCACACAACAGGCTGACAATGCTTCTGCTTATTGCAATGTAGTTGTTTAGTGTTGTCAGCCTAAAAAGAAAGTGCTGTTACTGGAAGGATCTCAAGACAGCAAACTTGCAACAGATTTAAAAAAAAAAAAAAATACTACTGTATCAGTAAACAGTAGGGATGCCAAACATAATGAAAAATAGATTTGATTTTACATATACTTCAATATAATATGTAAGGTTTAAATGATTAATATAAAATTAAAATGATTTCATTGTTATTCCTTTTCTTGTGATTTTATTTTAGTCAATATGTATACTTTAGTTGCTTGATAAATATAATTTATAGTGGTAAAATGCCCATGTTCACCTGTAACCAAGTTCATTTCAAAGTTCAGGTGCACAGATATAGTTTGTGCTCTTGCTGAAAAAGCTTAACAAACCATTTTAAAGCATGATGTTTAAATTGTGTCCTTCAAAACAATGACCAATTACAGAATTTTTGTATCCCATTGTACATTTTGTGTTAGTTTTTATTCATATCTTGATAAAAGAATACTATCAAACACCAGCAGCAAAGACAGCAATACTCAGCTCAACCAACAAGATGCAATTTTGCATATAATCCATACATAATTCTAA